CATGAAGGATTATCCTCCATCTATGGAATTCTCAGTGAACTGAGAATTAAAATAGATATAGTACCATAAAAATGATCTAGCTATTGCTCCTCTACTGGATAAATTAAGGAAATACATTTGGATGCAGCAACTGCTTCAGAATGTCATTCCCACAAATAAAATGTAATGCCAAAACAAAGCAAGGGCAATGCATTGAAAAAATATTTTGTGTAAGTGCTGCTTCTTTTGTAAACCTTCCTTTACGATTATTTTCATTTTAAAATATACAGCAAATACTTAAAATAACAGATATTTACAGGGACCAGATAGAGAACACATGTGTAAACATTTGCCCTAATGCTTAAATCCTTAATTGAAGGAACTGAGTGAGTGTGTGCGGAGGAGGGAATGTTTGCTTGTGCTTACCACGTGCCCAGCATTGGGCCTGCAGTTTTGGGTTATTTACACTGTTGTGAGTGTTCTCCACTTGTACCTGTGAGACAAGGTGGCCTGGGGTCCTAGGGTCCACCATCTTCCATGGAAGAGCTGGGCCTGCAGCTTTGTAAGCAAGTAAACATCATACCACCTTTGAACACTAGGTATTGTCTCCATTTCGCAGATGAGGGAACTGAAGCATAGGGACGTTAGGTCATTGGCATAGGTCACATATCTGATAAGTGACAAGACAAAGCTTTTCACTATAGCACAGTTGTATATTCCAGTGATGAACAGTTGAGGGCCATTTTCATTTTATAATTCCATGTTTTTTTAATATATAAGAAAGACTACGAAAATCATGTCTAGCTTATAATGTCACATATATTATTGCCAAGTTTTAAAATGAATTGATTTTAAAGATAAATATTACACAACTAATAGTACGAATGGCATGTGGACATGACAACATATCAGGACTAAGTTTGTTTGAACTTTTTGCTCTTTCTTCTTTTTTCTACCAATAACTTTATATGTCACACAGTTACCTTACAGGATAAAATCACCGTTTGACATTTTACTATACAGTCTGGCTCTAGCCAGCTGACCTCTAAATCTCTCTTCCTGAGGACTGCGCACTGGAGCCCAGGAAGTTGATTTGCTGTACTTGAAGGACACATGGGCAAAGTCAGCTAGATGCCCACCACACTCTTTCTCTTTTTCCATTTCAAGATCTCCATTGTATCACTTCCACTAAGATGTCAAATAACACAGACTCAGAATGCTCTAATATCTCTTTTTAAAATAAAGCTGTTTATAAAAATCAATGGCTTATAAGGTATGTCTCTATATTCTGTGTAGTTAACCAATGAATGTTTATTATGCCCTTTTTGTATGTAAGGCACTATATTAACTTCTTTGAGCACTGTCTTCTTGGCTTCATAATCTTATAATTGAAGAGCATGAGATGTATATGTGAAAAGTGAACTTATAAAATAAAAAAAGTGGTGGTAGACTCCAGGATGTTCATTTTAAAAGGACAGTAGGATGCAATGGAAATGTCATAATTCAGAGTTAGATACCTGGGTCTGCTGCTCATTAATGGCATATTTGTGTGACCTTGGACAATTAACCTAAGTGTTCTGAAGATTTCTCACTGTAAAATGGGGAAAAATCTATTTTGCAGACCTGATTGGAAATCATGAGATAATGTTTTGCAAAATATTTCATAAACTTCATAGTGACCTGCAAGTATGTGTATCTATCTCTGTCTCTATCTCTATCATCTCTATCTCTATATAGTTTTTATTTATTTAAGTAAGCTCTATCTCCAGTGTAGGGTTTGAACTCATGACCCCAAGATCAAGAGTCAGTTGCTCTTCTGACTGACCTGGCCAGGCACTCCATGAGTATATTTCTATTTGTCACAAGGTTTTCTATGACAGAAGCATGTATTACTAATAGGAGTTTTAAGACTGAGTTACAAAATAACTGGTTTCATGTTTAGCCCTAGAAAAACAGTCGACTTATTTTTATTTATTTTTTATTAAGTTTTTAATTTTAGTTCCAGTATAGTTAGTTGGTATATAGTGTTATATTAATGTCAAGTGTACAATATAGTAATTCAAAATTTCTTTTTGTTTTTTAAAAAGATTTATTTATTCATGAGAGACACAGAGAGAAAGAGAGAAAGAGAGAGAGACAGAGACACAGGCAGAGGGAGAAGCAGGCTCTTCGCAGGGAGCCTGATGTGGGACTTGATCCTAGATCCTGGGATCATGCCCTGAGCTGAAGGCAGACACTCAACCACTGAGCCACCCAGGCAACCCATTTTTTTTTAAGATTTTATTTATTTATTCATCACACACACACACACACACACACAGACATAGGCAGAGGGAGAGAGAAGAAGGCTTCCCGCAGGAAGCCAGATATGGGACTCGATCCCAGGACCCTGGGATTACAACCTGAGCTGAAGGCAGATGCACAACCACTGAGCCATCCAGGTGCCCCAGTAATTCAACATTTCTCTACATTACTCAGTGCTCATCATAAGTGAACTCTTTAGTCCCCATCATCTATTTCACCTGTCCCCACCTCTCCTCTGGTGACGATCAGTTTTTCTCTGTAGTTAAGAGTCTGTTACTTTTATGATTTTCAATAAAGTCAGAGTGCACATACCCTGCAAATCAGCAATACACATCTACATATTAATTCTCATACATGGGCAAAGTGACAAGGGCAAGGGTGTTTATTTCAATGTTGCTGGTAATAGTCTCTCTCTATTTTTTACCTTTGTTCATTCATTTTGTTTCTTAAATTCCACACATGAGTGAAATCATATGGCATTTGTCTTTCTCTGACTTATTGCATAATATACTCTAGCTCCATCCATATCATTGCAAATGGCAAGATTTCATTCTTCTTATGGCTGAATAGTATTTTATTGTATATATAGACCACATCATCTTTATTCACTCATCAAAAGAGTAAATTTAATATAGTCAAAAGAAAGTATTGTATAATTACAAAATTCCCCCCTTGGAATGATTAAATAAGAAACTATTCTAAATGTGAAAGAACTTATTAGAAAAGACTCATTTGTCCTACCAGATTCCAAGACTTTTTATAAAATAATGGTGATTAAATCAACATGGTGTTGATATTGGGAGATGCAAATAGACTCCATACATGCATGTATGTACACACACATCCACATACCTACATACACCCTTTCACATACACATGCACAAAAACTTGGAATATAACAGAGGTGGCATTGTAGACTGTTGGTGGAAAAAGACTATTAAATGGAGTGGACAATTGTTAACCAGATGGGAAAAAATAGGATAAGATACCAACCTCACACTCTCCATAAAATAAATTAATAATGTTCTGGTAGATTATAGATCTAGCTTGTAAAAATCTAAATCTTAAAACTTTTGAAAGGAAATACAGAAGAGTATATGACATTAGGATAGGAAAAGGTTTCTTAAGGCAAATTAAGGACAAATCATCAAGAAAGTTGGAAATTTTTGACTATAGTAAAATTAAAAATTTCTGTATGACTCAACAACAGACCATAAACAAAATTAAGAACCTTTACTGGAAGATTAAATTATCATCCATAGCTAACAGAAGCTTTTGAGTGTAGAATAGAAAAACAGATACAAGCAAATTGGAAAAACACTAAAAATAAAAACAAAATAGGTCTAAAATATGAATAGATAATTCACAAGAGGAAACATGTGGTCCATAGCCATATATAAAGATAGTCAAACTCTCAGTAATTTGAGGAATGCACCCATAATCAGCAAAAATTTAAAGTCCAATTATATCACCTGTTGGTGAGAATATGAGGTGAGTGAGAACTCTTGCTTGTGGAAATAATGTAAATTAGCACAATTCTGGAGGATACTTTTACGATTTTCAATAAAGTCAGTGCACATACCCTGCAAATCAGCAATACACATCTACATATAATTCTCATACATGGGCAAGGTGACAAGGGCAAGGGTGTTTATTTCAATGTTGCTGGTAATAGTAAAAATGGTAAGTGTGGGATCAGTCAAATTGCCTGTCGGTAGAGACATGAACAAGCAAGCTCTGGTTTAGTCTTACCATGGAGGGTTTAGCTGAAGGAAAAGATGAAATAAAGAAGTAAAAGAAAATTATCAAAACGGCTAAATCTCATTAATATCTGAAACAAAGCAAACTGCAGAATGATACAGTAAATGTGATATAATTTCTGTGTAAATCCTATAGCATTTAAAAATTTACACATAGGGATCCCTGGGTGGCGCAGCGGTTTAGCGCCTGCCTTTGGCCCAGGGCGCGATCCTGGAGACCTGGGATCGAATCCCACGTCGGGCTCCCCGTGCATGGAGCCTGCTTCTCCCTCTGCCTATGTCTCTGCCTCTCTCTCTCTCTCTGTGTGTGTGACTATCATAAATAAAATTAAAAAAAAAACCTTTAAAAAAATAAAAAATAAAAATTTACACATAGTTTATGGATATACACTTGCATAAAATGTGCTTGGAATGATATAATCGAACTTCAGTTTCCTGTTACATCTGGTGATGTTGGGCAATTCCCTGGGGTGGAATCTTAGTTGTTTCAAATATTTTATTCCTTAACAGAGGGATCTGAAGCAAATAAGGAAAGATGCTAATGTTTTAAAAATCAGAATGATAGGAAGGAGTATAAACCATCATTTTTACTATTTTATCAAATGCTTTTCTTCTGTATCTGTCACAATTTTTTTTATGATCCAGGAACTTTACTCCCCATTATTACCTAGGAGAAATTAAACATATATTCACAAAAGACCTATACAAGCATGTTCATGGCACCTTTATTCTTAACAGCTCTACGCTTGACATAATACAAACGTCCGTCAACAGAGGAATGGTAGTCACACAGTGAAATGCTGCTCAACCATAGGAAGAAATGAGCTGCTGCCAGACATAACAACGTGGATGAATCTCATAAAAGCTTATGTTGAGCTAAAAAGAAAAAGACACAAGGAAGCCACATTGTAAGATTCCATTTATATACAGCAGGGTTGGCCACATTAGTTGAATAGCCCAGCACAAAGTGAAAATGGGGGCCCATTGTTCATGAAGCCGGAAAACAGTATCTAAAGGTACTAAGATCTAAAGCTTTTTCTTCTTCCAAAGTCTTTTGAATTTTCATGGCACTTTTAATTTGTTATTCCATGGGGTTCTCAACAAAGAAAAATTAAAACTTAAAATTGTTATATTTAAATTTAATATTAAATATTACAATTCATTGTTCATCCTTATAATGTGCCATGCTAGTTTTAAATGCAAATGTAAGAACATTCATCTCGTATGAGGAATAACTGAAATTACACAACTGGTGCTTTGTGGCTCATGCATACACATGTATTTCGTTCTTATCCAAACAATGAAAGTGCTGCACAAAACTCATAGAACTGTTACTATTTCACAGCCTTCTATGTGAGCATTGTACCAATGCTCTGCTCCTTCTGTTTAACGATGAGTAGGGTCTGAAGGGTAAAGGGACTATGGGTCACACTCTGGCCTATCCTTCCTTTCCTTTTATAGCACCGTTTACAGGATCAGTGATCGACCAATCAGGGAAGTAACACAACTAGCAAAGGACATGATAGGGCTCCTTGGTCATTAGTGTCTCCTAGAACCCCGTTGCTTTCCTTCTGTGTTTGAAGCAAGTTCTGATTGGAATGGAAAGTGTGACTTCTGAGGCTCGTGGTGCCCATGCTTACTCATTCCTAGAGGTAACCTGCTTACCTCACGCTGAGTCTCACTGAAGCCTCCCTCATCATTTGTCCTCTGGAATTGTGTCCTCCTGGGGCATGTAGAGCCCACGTGTGAATGGGGCAACAAGGAACAGCAGATGCACACCATTGGTCCTTTGTCCAATCAGACGCCTCTTACGAAACACAAGTTCAAAGATAAAGTTATTGAGAATTTCAAAAAAATAATAGTATCAGAGCACTGAACTAAATGTGAAGCCCCTTTGAGCATAGTTCTATCTGTATACATTTCAGTTAATGCGTGGATATATTTCTCACAATTCAGCAAACTTAAAATCTGTGCAACTTGTTATATGTAAGTTGTAAGTAAATAAAAAATAAAATGACAAAAAAAATGACATCCCCCTCCCAGTTTTCTCCTAAGTGTAAAACTACAGAATTTTATATTTTGATTTAATTTTTCTGGTGACCAATCATGTACTGAACAAAATCAAATTGATTAAATAATCAATAGATTACTAAATTGATCAGTTACCAGCTTCCTCTTCCATTTCCCTCCAGCTCTGTGACCTACTTCAATAGTTGAAAATAGCAAAACTATTACGCAGTAACAGAAGGTAATTTATTTTGTCTTGTTCCATATTTTTTTTTTACAAAGAAAGTGTAATTATCCGTTTGAATAGCATAATACATGAAAAAGAAGGTTGTAATGATCAGGCTACAATTTCAACAAAAAAGGTATTTCTTCTTTTATGCTTCATGAAACATGTAATGTGTCTGCAATTTATGAGGAATTTACATTCATTTTTCTCAGTGACAGTATAAGCCCCTAGAGAGAAAAGGCTTTGATAGGGATCATGATATTTTGCCTCAATGTACTCATTTATCCTGGTCAAGGATGCAAATTGGAGGACGTTTCCCTCAGTGCCATGATAATCACACATTGAGAAGGAAGAGAGTTCAGTATTGCTGGACTTTTGTTCACACTTAGTTATCACATTTGCAATGCGATCAAGAGCTTTAACATACTGTCCTAAGATTTTATTTTACCATTTTTCCCAATGACTAACGTCCAGCAGGATAGTGAATTATTTTTACATTTGTCTGTAATACAAAAGCTAACATACCATTTAATTCTTAGTTCGTGGAGGCAATGTTTGACAGAAGTACTTTGTAAAGAGATTTAGGAATACGTCTTTTTTAAGTTCTATGTTATTTGTTCAGAGCTAATTTATTACCTTGAATATTTGCTATCTTTAAAGGGAAAAATCATTTTAAGAGAGTACAACAAATGGAAAAAATTTCAGGCATGAAAAGTTTCTTATTTTTTTATCTTGCAGTCCAACAAATTGCTCAGTGCTTCTACATGTTGTCTATGGGAGGTGATCCTGAGGGGAGGTGTACGGTGAGCGGAGTCAACAGCATTACAAGCTTGTCCAAAGGAAGACAACAAAACAAGGGCAACACTTTCCGAATCTCAAAAACCATTACCAGCATTATTCTTGTCTGAATTACTATTACTATTACTATTACTAACGATTCAATTCGCTCTTTTTTTTTCAGTTTGAAAGTGATAGTGTATAGCTGAAGATGTTTCTCCTCTTGTTCTGAATCATTATTTTGATCTTTCACTGAATGGTTCATACCGTGGGCCCTCTGGGACTTAATTCAACAAGTCCGAATCCGAAAACATCATTCTCCTCCTTAAACCAGCTCTTCCTTTTCTCTTAATTCAATTTTATCATCCTTTCAACCACCAAGAGATTTTGTCCACCAAGGGCCTCAAGAATCCACTAGTCTCTTCTCCAGCATCCTCTACCCTCCTCTCCTAGGCCCTCCTTTCCCTCTGACCTGCAATAGCACACTACTTCTCTTCCCTGCCTTAATTTCTGCCCTTTTTACTGCATCGTGTGGAGTCCCCCAGCCAAATGCATCTCCATAAGATGCCGTTTTGAATCTATAATTTTTAAAAAAGATTTATTTATTTATTCATGAGAGACACAGTGAGAGTGAGAAGCAGGTTCCCTGTGGGGATCGCCATGTGGGACTCGATCTCAGGATCCCAGGATCATGACCTGGACCGAAGGCAGATGCTCAACCACTGAGCCACCAGATGTTCCTCGAATCTATAACTTTTAAAGAACTCAGCTAAGATAATTAATCTTTCAGAGGAAGACTGATCACGTGAAGGAACAAGCAGTCCCTGGTGCTCACTCTCAGTTGCCTCAGATGAATTTATCACAGAGGTGGAGTTGGAGAATCATCGTCACCTAGGGCTGTCAGCGTCAACATTCTTCATGATATTGTCAGCCCATTTTGATACAGGGAATTAGAGCTGCAAGATCCTTTTGTGTCTTTCTGACCCCAAAGAAATGTGCATTCCTAACCTTTACTCCAAAAATAGTCTTTTATAGCCATTTTATTTTTTAACATTACGGACTGCATAAAAAATCATGAAATTATAATGTGTAATACACCAGAGGGGATCTGGAGACAATTTGTATCATGTTCAGTGAAAAGATCCATTACATTTACTTTATATAATTGTATACTTTGTAAATATTAGATATTGAGTATGCTTAAAATGTTCAAATAAAATCCTTCAGTTTTTATTTTGAGATTTTATTTATTTATTCATGAGAGGCACAGAGACACAGGCAGAGGGAGAAGCAGGCTCCACACAGGGAGCCCAATGTGGGACTCGACCCCAGGACTCCAGGATCACACCCTGGGCTGAAGGCAGGTGCTAAACCGCTGAGCCACCCAGGGATCCCCAACTTTAATATTAAGTTTTATGCTTTTAATGGTTGTACTTAATTTCTGGTTAATACTTTTGGATAACAATCTCTTCATTTTTCTTGATAGTCCCCATCAAAGAGAAATCTTGTTCACCTAGGTATGTGATTCTAAAAATTAGAGCCATTTGGAAACCATTCAAGTGAAGCATTTATAACAGTTGACACTGTACCTAAGGCAGCTCTTTTTTTTCCCTTCAGAGATGTAACATTAAAATTATTTTTAATGTGAATAGATCTTAAATCTACTTCAATTGTTCCAGCTCAGAATTTCAAAATAATGATGAAGCTCTAATTTGCAGAATGTGGCTGCATTTTAAAGCCATCACCTGAAACTAGTTTGAATCAGAAAGGGGGGGCCAATGAAGCCACAGAGCCACAGAAGTAGAATCATAGATATGATTTGGTGGTGCCTGCCAAGAATTTTGCCTGAGTCTGCTCCCATTCCCACCTCCCGCTGGTTAGTGTACTAGGGCTGCCTGCTGGCCTCCTGTGGTCCTAGGGCCGGGAGCTTGGGCACTTCTGCAGGCCCGCTGTCCCTGATGGGCGGCAGCGCATGGGGCAGCAGGCTGCCGAAGGTCATGCCCCGGGCCGGCCGCTGCGCACCTGCTCATCTACAGTGGTGGGGACTAACACCTGCTCATGTAGCTCGGTGGGGACTAGCAGCCTGCTCATCTAGCTTGGTGGGGACTAGCGTCCGCTCATCTGGCCGGGTGGGGACTAGTGGCTGCTCATCTGGCCCGGTGGGGACTAGTGCCCACTCATCTGGCTTGGTGGGGACTAGCACCCGCTCATCTGGCCCGGTGGGGACTAGCGCCCACTCATCTGGCCTGGTGGGGTCTAGCGCCCACTCATCTGGCCCGGTGGGGCAGCGCTCATTGGCCGTGGGGACTAGCGCCCACTCATCTGGCTTGGTGGGGACTAGCACCCGCTCATCTGGCCCGGTGGGGACTAGCGCCCGCTCATCTGGCCCGGTGGGGACTAGCAGCTGCTCATCTGGCTTGGTGGGGACTAGCGCCTGCTCCTGTGGGGGGGAGGGCGACTAGCGCCTGCTCATCTAGCACAGGGGCAACTGGTCAGCTGGGCAACTGGTCAGCTGGGAGCACCTGGTCATCCCAAAGAGAGACAACTTCTCTCTTGAACTCCTGAACAGTTGTACTTTTTATGGTTTTCTTATCACTCTCGTGTTTTTCAGTGAATCATTTTATTGTTCCAAACAGAAAGCAGATCTCTTAGAAGACTGAAGCTGTGACTTCATCCTTTGTACCCGAGGACGTGCACCTGGAACATCCTCCATGAATGTCTGTTGGATTGCACTGAATATAGAGAATTTTTTTAAGCTTTTATTTATTTATGATAGTCACACAGGTAGAGAGAGAGAGACAGAGACATAGGCAGAGAGGGAGAAGCAGGCTCCATGCACCGGGAGCCCGATGTGGGATTCGATCCCGGGTCTCCAGGATCGTGCCCTGGACCAAAGGCAGGCGCCAAACCGCTGCGCCACCCAGGGATCCCGGATTGCACTGAATATAGATACAGAAATAAAGTCCTTAAGAACTTCAGTGGTCAGCTCAAGGTTATGATGGGAAGTCGGTCAATCTATTGTTAATCCAGCAGTTAAACATACTGAGGAAAATTCGGTTTTTATAATTTGTTTTATAATGTAGTGCAGATCAGCCGAATGGAGTATTCATTTTTTTTTTTCTGCAAAAACAATGCCGAGGTAGTTTTGCAACAAGCTTTAGGATCCTTCAAATTCAATGATTTTTAGGTTTTGTTGTTTTTAAACCAGGGAAATTGGGGCACCTGGGTGGCTTGGTTGGTCAAGCAACTGCCTTTGGCTCAGGTCATGATCCTGGGGTCCTGGGATCCAGCCCCACTTTGGGCTCCCTGCTCAGCCGGGAACCTGCTTCTCCCCCAGCACCCCTCCTGCACATACTTAGGCTCTCTGTCTCTCTGAAATAAATAAAAAATAAAAGCTTAAAAAAAATAAACCAGGGAAATCATGTATATTTTTCTGCAAATGAGTTCCAGTATATAAAACAGATAAAAGTGGAGCAGCCTAAAACGATGCATAGGCCAAACGTGACCTTCCCCCACCACCCTGTGGGCTGTCAGGCACCTCTGCGGAAGGTGGGGCTCCAGGGCACACAATGTAAACACGGCCGCCCCGCCCCGCCCCGGCATTTTCACTTGTGAGGGTTCAATCCCATTGTGTAAAGACAGGGCTTGCCAGGCAAGGAGACCCTGGGGCCCATCCTGGGCCTTCTGCATTGGAATGCAAATTCCAGGGGATTCTTACCTGTCCTAATGTTTAGAAGCATTAATTTGGAGGATTTGGGGGATATTAGGATAGGAAAGAGAGTTATTAAATAAGAATTTATGTATAATAAATTATGTATAATAATTCTTATGTATAATAGACTCGGGAAATAAAATCGAATGCGTTATATACATGAGGGGACGCTGGCCTGGCATCGCCTTTCCGGTTTCCCGCATCCGTTTCCCTGGGCGCAGGAGAAAGGGGTGCTAGGTTTGGAAGGTAGAGGAAGCCGTGAGGTGACCCCGGAGGTTTAGTGCCAGGTTCCAGGTGCCACTGCTACTCGTGCCTGTGGCCGCCAGTCCGCGCAGTTTGCCTTCTCTCCAGGCGCAGGTGTCCCACACCTGGCAGCCTCGGCTCCTTAGGCCCTGCGGGCCCGGCCCTGTTGCACCTGCAGCCGCGCCCCCGGCGGCCTCGGCTCCTGCGGCTCCCGCGTGCCCGGACCTGTAGCACCTGCAGCCGCGCACCTGGCGGCGCGGGGACGTCTGCGGGTGTGCGGAGACCGCGGGGCCAGCGGCATCCTCGGGCGCGTCCGCGGGGCTTGCCGCCTGCCTTGCTGAGCGCCGGCTGGTCCGCGTGGCTGTTAGCTCTGCAGTGACAGTTCCCCGCCCTCCCGCTCGGACCCAGCCCACCTGGCACAACCTGGGCCGGCGGGCAGGTGCGGAGCCCGCGGCCCGGCAACGACCTGGCCTTCCTGCTCAGGGATGCTTCTCTGATTCTCCCGCTACCCCCACCCCCTCCGGAGTTTTCTTTCCCCGGCTTCTCCCACAGTGTTCAATCCCTAAAACGAACCTCTCATTCCATATTACTCATTATGGTCTTTCCTGATTCCCCGATTAAGCCCTGATACCTGTTGAGTCCACCAGTGACCGCTGACAGGCCGCCTTCAGGTGTGGCCCATTCCAGGTGTTCTGTATACGTCCTATCCGAAGGTTTTCTTGAGGCCTTGAAAGGGGAATTACTTTTTCTAGAACTTTTACAGTTTGATATGCTTTGAACAGTCATTCTTTTTTGGTTTCTTGATGAAGCACAGAAGACAGCTAAGATACTACTTAATGACTCTCTATATAATTTCATAAAGATAAATAAAAAAAAACAAAACAAAAACAAAACCCAAAAAAACCCACAACCATAATCAAGGAGCACTAAATCAGAGGAGAAAGCTCGAGAGAGATAGGCTATTAAGAGAAAGAGGACAAGGGTTATTGGAAAATATAAAAGGATAATAATAAACTAAGTTGTTTTGTACCAAGAAGCTAATCCTGCGGTTGAGTCAGCCTCTCATCTTTTTCCCT